TGCAGGAGGGAAGAGGAGCAACTGATGGGATGATCAAGAAAAAAAGATGGAAAGGAAGAAAAAGTTGGGTTATTTGAGATTTTTACAATGTAGAAGTGATATGTTGGTAGTAGTAGCACGACATACCTGAAAACCCATCCTGCCTGGGTGGCATATGACCGGTTTGTTGAAAGAAGTGATATAAAGAGTGAGGAGTATTATAGAGAGAGTAAGAGGCTAAGAGAGGGGTGAGGGAGTGTAAAAGGAGAACAAATTAGAACGGGGTAAAGTTTTCTCAACAAATTTTGCTGTGAATAAGAAAAAGCTTTGGAATGATATCAATAAGTTGAGAAAGCCTAAACCACAAATAGATTTTTTTTTTTAACAAACTGACCATATTCCACCAAGGCAGGGTGGCCCAAAAAGAAAAACTGAAGTTTTTCTTTTTAAATTTAGTAATCTGTACAGGAGAAGGGGTTATTAGCCCCTTGCTCCCGGCATTTTAGTCACCTCTTACAACACGCATGGCTTACGAAGGAAGAATTCTGTTCCACTTCCCCATGGAGATAAGAGGAAATAAACAAGAACAAGAACTAGAAAGAAAATAGAAGAAAACCCAGAGGGGTGTGTGTGTATATGCTTGTACCTGTATGTGTAGTGTGATCTAAGTTTAAGAAGTAGCAAGACGTACCTGAAATCTTGCATGTTTATGAGACAGAAAAAAGACACCAGCAATCCTACCATCATGGGTATTTGAAAGTATTGGGAAGGTGGAGGGAATCTTTTGAGAAGCTGTTAAATGTTGTTGAAGAAAGTGAGGCAGTGATCTTATACACTGGCTAGGGAGGTATAACAACTTTTAGGGTAAAGAAGCGTGAGATGTAAATGTGAGGGAGGTGCTGGAGGCTGTGGGTAAAATGAAAGGGGGTAAAGCAGCTGGGATTGATGGGATCAAAACATGTTAAAAACAGGTGAGAATATAATTATGGAATGGTTAGTGTATTTGTACAGTATATGCATGAAAGGAGGAAGGGTGCTTAGGAACTGACAGAGAGCATGCATAGTTCTTTTCTATGAGGGAAAAGGATATAAAAGTACAAGAATTATAGGTGAATAAGCCTGGATTATTTCTGAAAGAATTAGAGATAAGACAGAGAGCAGGACTGCAGATGAACAGAGGGGCTTTACAATGGGTAGGGGGATGTGTAGATCAAGTGTTTACATTGAAGAATATAAGTGAACAATATTTAGAAAAAGGTAGGAAAGTTTTTGTTGCATTTATGGATTTAGAAAAGGCATATGATAGAGTGGATAGGGGAGCAGTGTGGCAATATCAGATCCCTAAGTAAACACTATGATGACCTCCTGGCACTCCTAGATTCACTGAAGCTAACCTTCTCCTGTATTATTCTTACTGAAACCTGGCTTAAGAAAGACACAATAGACATCCACACACTACCAGGATACACAGCAATCCACAACTACAGGCCAGAATAAATTAGGGGAGGTACTGACAGCTATTATTCTAATGAGTTATGTTGCAACACCATATCCTTCAGTGATGAATATGGTGAATATAAACACATTTGCAAACTTCTCTGAAAAAAAAATAAAAAAAACTATAGCAATTGGCGTCATATACAGGATGCCTCATACTAACATTCAAGCTTTTAGTGATAAGCTAAAAACACTGACTACAGATACACACATGAATAAGCACCACCTACTTCTAGCAGGAGACTTCAACATTAACTTGGTGTAACAGATGCCCAACCTGTAACTGATTTCATGAACGGTATGAATAATACATTACTCATACCAACAATTACAAAACCAACAAGACTGAGACAAGTGCAACCATAACTGACCATATAAGGATCAACACACTAGCTCCCCCCATTGTAGTGGGGATAATCACGGACAACACTACTGACCACTACCCAAATTTCCTCCTAACAAACATTTGTAAGCACCCAATGAAATAAGTTCTCTTTTCGACTCTATGATGAGGCATCAGTAACTGGGATACAAAATTTTCCAATGCTGTTGGTATTGAAGAATGGATAGACATCTTTCTAAACAAAATACATAGACTATATAACAAACATTGTCCCATAAAAACTAAACACATCACTAATAAAAGACTAAGTTGCCCATGGCTTACTAACAGCCTTCTAAGATCCACTGAAATGAAACATCAATATGAAAAACAATATAGAAGGGGCTTAATAACTAAAGAATTTATCAAACACTATACGTCAGTCCTCACCAAATTAATCAGAAAGTCCCAGCCTGGAAGACACTCTAAACTGAATAAACCAAAACTCCAGCTTACTGATAGAGCTAACAAGATAAATGACTTCTTCTCAACCACAGGATCAAATCTCGCCAGTAAAATTCCAAATGCCAATGCCTGAGCTAATGATTATCTAGAGTGAAACTTCCCAATATTCCTCTATCTTACACCAACAGAGCACACTGAGGTTACCCATGATTATTAACTCTCTAAAAAACAAATCAGGAAATATAGCCAAAGTACCACCACTACTGTACAAACGAGCAACTCAAGTCCTTTCACCCACCATTACATTACTCTTTAACAAATCACTAGAAACCAATACTTTCCCAGCATCACTCAAAATAGCAAGGATTACACCACTACACAAAGATGGTGACCCAAAAGATGTAAAGAAATACAGGCCAATATCAAACTTGTCTTTACTTTCCAAAAATCTTTGAGAATCCCACACACAAAAGATTATATTCCTTCATTATATCACAAATCATCCTCAACCCCTGCCAGTTTGGCTTCAGGAGGAACAAAAGTACAAATGAAGCAATAATAAAAATGCCAGACCTACTTTACACAGCACTGGAAAAAATGAATACCCGCTTGGACTCTTTAATGACCTTATGAAAGCTTTTGATACAGTAGACCACAGTATCCTACTCCTCAGGCTTGATCATTATGGTATAAGAGGCCACACACTTGCATTTATCAAGTCTTACATTACTAATAGAAAGCAATACGTCTCTATCAAGGACACAACGTCCTCAACGAGACCCCTGGACACGGGTGTACCACAGGGAAGCATTTCTGGCCCCCTCCTTTTCCTTTTATACATCAACGATCTTCCAAGTGTATCACAACAACTTATGCTTATTCTCTTTGCTGACAACACTTTTGTCATCTCCCACCCTAATCTAGACTCACTCAACACTATTGTTAATGAGGAGCTTGCAAAAATAACATGGATGACTGTCAATAAACTTACACTTAATACATATAGACAAAACCTTCTACACTATGTTTGGAAGTAGAGCAAGTGAGGTCCAACTAAACATTATGCTTATCATCATCCCTATTGCTAAACAAAATGAGGGAAAATTCCTAGGTCTGCACCTTGACAGCAACCTGAAATTCGACACCCATATCCAACACATAACAAAAACAGTATCTAAAACAGTTGGCATCCTCTCAAAGATACATTACTATATATCACAAACAAATGCGCTACTCGAACATGGAAAAGATCAAACCAGCGAGTGGGACAGTCAATGACTCATCCAAGCTAGCACTTGCAGCTGTCATCAGTGGCAGATTGCAAGTCAAATGTAATGCGATACTAACGCTCAAGGAGGCCTTTGTTGTCGTCTGTTCTGATGACACTGAGGCCGAGAAACTACTTACCACTACTTCTACAACCACTCGACGAGATCAGAGCTTTCTTGTCTTGACTTCCCCAGCTCTGAGGGCCAGAACTGTGTTCCTCAAGTGACTCGACAGACTCATCACTGCACAGGATACTGAAGAGATCAAGTTGTCCATTGAAGCGCAGAACCGCTGGGCCAAGGTGGAATTCATCACTAAAATACCCAATGCCTCATCCATGCTGAAGGTCACCTTCAGTGACGTCAACATGGCCTGAGGGCCTGGCTATCCACTACTTCCAGATCAACCCAGCCTTCATTGAAGCAGAAAAATACCAACAAATTCCACAGTGCTATAACTGTTACTCATTCTTACATACCACCAAGACTGCCCTGCCAAAGGCAAGAAGTTCTGCTCCACCTGTGGCCTTGAGGGACATGACTTCAAAAACTGCACTGCTGCCTCACCACCTAAATGCTTGAACTGCAAGAATGACCACCATACACTTGCTGCCAAATGCCCAACCAGAAGAGACATACTCAAAAAACAACTACAACAACAAAAAAACCCAACCCAGAAGAAACCACATATGCAGCTATCACCAAGCTTCAAGCAGACACTACCAAGATCCTACACGCCACGCAAGCTGCCTCCACCACTTCCCTGCCAGCCCCTGCTGGCGACTCTACCAAGATTCTTTACTGCATCATGTATGCTCATGTACAGAATATAGCTGAGCCTGGTTCCTTCAACTCCACCATCAACGAACTCTTCAAGTTCAACAATATGCCTGGTTTTACATTCCCTGCATCCCCACCTTCCAATGAGATCATAAAATCCACTGCTAATGTCGCCAACATCACCGCTGCTACACCGCTACCACACCTTCCACTCGATGCAGAGATGGACCAATCAGAGACCATCGAGGCACCGACCCAGCCCACCAATGAGAATCCACCAACACCTGCTCCTACCGCTGATGCAACTCACCATTCACGAGCCTCGCCTCCACCAGTACAGCCACCAGCCAAGAAAGCCAAAAAGCAAGAGCCTGGGGATGCAACACGCCGTGCCACGACCATTCCCTCACGACAAAAAGAACACCACATTATGAACGGTGTATTCTTTTACACTACCAAACAATACAGCGAAAAAATGTATACCCAGGAAATTGTTCAACATCTCCAGGATTGAACAGTCAAGTACACTTGTGAACCAACCTATCCATACACCTTTGACGACCTGCTTCCTCGAAGCCTATCAATAACTCGCCCACTAGTAATCAACCATATCACACAGCAGATTTTCAGGACTCTACAGAATGGAACTCAGGAAGATGGTACCCTCACTTAGCACTACTACCACTGACCTCACACCAAAGAGATAAGTTTCCCCAGCACTTTGCTGTCTGCTAAAGCTGGGGTGTGGCTCCAATCGACCCTTTAATTGCTGCCTCTGCCCGACTGCACTTCTGAAGCGAGAAGACACTTTCCTCCTGGGGAGTCAACGCAAGATAGAAGACACCCTCCAACCAGAGGGCCCAAGAAAGAAGAAAGAAGATTAACAACACCCCCCACCCGGGGGGGCCACTGCCGGGTCACCATCTGGAGAAGACCCGGGCCGGAAGTACCGGAGAATCAACACGAATGAATGAAGCATTACTTATACTATACTATTCACTGATCTACCCTTACCTCACCTATGCTATTTGTGTCTGGGGATCCACAACAACAAATTACCTAAAACCAATAATAACTCAACAAAAAGCTGTGGTGTGAATGATTACACAATCCACTGCTAGATAACACCCCCCACACTCTTCAAAGACCTAAATCTACTCACTATACAAAACATTCACTCATACTACTGTGTAACCTACATTTACAGAACAATAAATTTTAATATAAATCTCGACCTGAAACGCTTTCTTGACAGTTGCAATAGGACCCATAGACATAATACTAGGCACAACAATCTCTATGACATTCCCCATGGCAGGTTAAATCTTTTCAATAACTCAATGTACATAAAAGGGTTCAAAATCTGGAACTCTCTGCCAGAAATCTCCAGAACCACTGTTTCATCTAGCAGCATTTTTAAAACTACAGTTAAAAAATACCTTATCTCCTTAACCTATCCCAGCCCATTATAAATACATATGTAAAAACTATACATGCAAATGAGAGAGTGGGTGAGATGTTATCAACCAAATTTGTTTAAATAAGAAAAGTATCGGAGTGAGATTAACAAGTTAAGAATCCTAGAGAACAAATGGTTTATGTCAGATTAAAAATAGAGAGGATAGTTAATTAAATGGAGAGGTAGAGGTAATTGTGAAGATGTAAGGAATATTTGAGGAATTGTTAAATGTTGATGAAGATAGGGAAGCTGTGAGTTTCGTGTATATGGCAAGAGGAATAACATCTTGTAGGAGTGAGGAAGAGCCCAGTTGTGAGTGTGGGGGAAAGTTCGTGAGGCAGTAGTAAAATGAAAAGGGGATAAGGCAGCCAGCCGGGGATTGATGGATAAAGATAGAAAGTTAAAAGCAGGGTGGGGATATAGTTTTAGGGAGTTTGGATGGTGCAATTATTTAATAAATGTAAGGAAGAGGTAAGTTCCCTAGGGATTAGGCAGAGAGTCATGCAAGTTCCTTTGTAATAAAGGCAAGGGGATAAAAGAGATAGTGCAAAAATTATAGGGTGATAAGTCTGGTTGAGTGTACCGTGGTAAAGTGTATGTAGAGTTATAATTGGAAAGAATTAAGATAAGACGATAATAGGATAGCAGATGAACAAGAGGCTTTTAGGAAAGGTAGGTGTGGTGTGACCAGGTGTTTTACAGTTGAAACATATAAGTGAACAGTATTTAAGATAAGGCTAACGAGTCTTTGTGGCATTTAATGAATTTGGAAAAAGGCGTATGACAGGTTGGATAGGGGGGCAATGTGGCAGATGTTGCAAGTGGTATGGTGTAGGGGTAGTTACTGAAAGCAGTGAAGAGTTTTTATACGAAGGAAGTGAGCCAAGTTAGAGTATGTAGGAAAGAGGAAATTTTTTCCAGTAAAATGTATGCCTTAGACAAGGATGTGTGATGTTCACCGTGGTTTTTTAATATATTTATAGATGGGGATGTAAAGAGAAGTAAATGCGAGGGAACTTGGCAAGAGGCGTGGAGTTAAAAGATAAGAATCACACACAAAGTGGGAGATGTCACAGCTTGCTCTTTTGGCCGATGGATCACTGTGCTCTTGGAGATTCCTGAAGAGAAGTTGCAGAATTGGTGGATGAATTTGGTATGGAGAGCAAAAGAAGAAAATAAAGTGAATACAGGAAAGAGTAAGGTTAGAGGATAACAAAAAGATTAGTGATTGGAAAGATTGAATATCAGATTGGAGGGAGAGAGTATGGAAGTGAAACTATTCAGATATTTGGTAGTGGAACCGTGTCAGCGGATGGGTCTATGAAAGATGAAGGTGAACATAGAAATTGATGAGGGAAAAAGAGTGAGTGGTGCACTTAGGAGTCTGTTGAGACAAAGAACTTTGTCCGTTGGAGGCAAAGAGGGTAATGTATGGAGAGTATAGTTGATTAACCAACGCTCTATATGGGTGTGAACGTGGTGAGTAATGTTGCAGCGATGAGAAGGCCTGGAGGCAGTGGAGATGTCATGTCTGAGGTCAATGTGTGGTGTGAATATAATAGCGAGAATTCGAGTTTGGAAGTTAGGAGGAGGTGCGGGAATAACCAAACCTGTTTTCCAGAGGCTGAGAAGGTTGTTGAGGTTGTTTCGTACATGTAGAGAGAATGGGCGAAACAAATTGAACTTCAAGATGTATCAAGTCCTGTATTGGAAGAAAGGGCGGGGTATGGTTCGGCCTAGAACGAAGGGTTGGAGGGAGGGGGGGTAAAGGAGTATTGTGTGCGAGGGGCTTTGGACTTCCAGCAGCAATGCGTGAGCGTGTAGATAGGAGTGAATGGAAGACAAATGGTTTTTTAATACTTGACTGCAGTTGAGTGTGAGCAAAGTAACATTTATGAAGGGATTCAGGGAAAACCGGCAGGCCGACTTGAGTCCTGGAGAAGGGAAGTACAGTGCCTGCACTCTGAGGAGGTTGTTAATGTTGCAGTTTAAAAACTGTAGTGTAAAGCACCCTTCGGCAAGACAGTGATGAGTGGATTGATGTGAAATTTATTTCTTTTCTCGGCCACCCTGCCCTTGGTGGGGAATCGTGCCGTGTGATTAATAAAAAAAAAAAAAAAAAATAACTTACTCTTAGATATCTGTAATCCTGTCAAATAAATAATCGTTCCACTGTGTCCTGCCTTAGGTTTATAATCAAAACAGTAATTCCTCTTTACCAACATATTAAAGCCCATATAGCATGAACCTCTAACGCGTAATTGTTAACTTACTTGCTACACTCTTCACTATCCACCACCACCTCATAACCCCACACACCCACCCTCATAACTCCACCCATACCACCATCACTTCTTCACCCACCACCATCACCACTCCAACCCACCATCATCACTACTCCAACCACCAGCCATCTCTACTACAGAAACCCACTCACCGCTCCTCACTACATTCCATCCACCAACCATCACTAACTCCACCCAGCCACCCATCACCTACTCCACCCACCACCTCTCAGTACTCTCCACGCCACTTGAAGGAACCTCTGGTAGGCAGGTAAATTCACGGAGGCCTGCACAACAAAACGGAGTATTATCCTTCCAGCTATGTGTTGAAGAACATGTGGTATGGAGCGAAGTACCTGACAGTCCCATCTGGGTACAGAGTAGAATTTGACTTCATATACGCTGCCAACAACTCACAACTCGGATTTTGGCTTCCCAACTCAAAGCAAAAAATTGACTCGAGTGACGGCTCTACCTCAGAAAACTCGTAAAGATGGGGCACATCGTAAATTAGGGGTAACCACCTACTCCCAACTGTTATCCTCCTTTGTACAAACAATGTATCATGTTGAAATAAATAAAATTATTATTATTATGTTGTCAAGTATTATGGAGGAGTAGTAGTTTTTCTGAAAGCATAATGAGTTTTTTACAAGATATGAGGAACAGGTATGTAGTATGAGAGGAGATTATTTCCCAGTAAAAGTAGTCCTTAGACAAAGATGTGTTGATATCACCATGATTGTTCAATAATTTAATAGATGGGAGTTGTAAGAGAAGTGAAAAATGAATCAGGTGTTAGCAGGAGGATTAGGATTGTTAGATAAAGAATCTAACACAAAGTGGGAGTGTCACCAGTTGCTCTTTTTGCTGAAGAGAAGTTGGACAGTATGTAAAAGAAAAAAATTAAAAGTGAATGTAGGAAAGAGAAGGAGATGAGATAACACAAAAAAATAGCTAATGAAAGAATCAGATTGGAGGGAGGGAGTATGGAGAAGTTAATATGTTCAGTTACATTTGGAGTGGCCTTGTCGCAGATAGTTCCTATGAAAGACAAGGTTGAACCATAGTGAATGATGAGAAGGAAAAACCGGTGAGTGTGCTCTGAGGAGTCTGTGAGATAAAGAACATTATCCATGGAAGCAAGAGGGGAATATATGAAGAGTATGACTTAACCCAAAGCTCTTATAATGGTGTGAAGTATGGGTAGGTGGAGAATGTTGCAACAAAGAGGAGGCAGGAGGCAGTAAGATGTCCATGTTCAGGACAATGTGTGGTGGTGGTATTAGTATGTGGAAATTTAGACTTGTGATTAGATATCGTGATGGGTTACAAGAAGCAGTGTTCCAAGGGCTTAAAGAGGATGCTATGAGGTGCTTAGGGCATTAAAAACACCCTTTGACTGTTACGCCGTATATATACGTTCAAGATGAGTAGTGGGGGGTTGAAGAGGGTTGGAATAGTTTTAAAAAAAAAATGCAGTATTAGAATGAGGGGCAAAGTTTGTGTTATAGGAAGGGTGGGGCAGGAGTAAGAGGAGTGATTGGTGGAATGATGAAGTAAAGGGTGTGATAAAAGAGAAAAATGTACTTACGAGAGGTTTTTACAAAGCAGAAGTGTTATAAAGAAAGAGCAGAGTATATGGAGAGTAAAAGAAAGGTGAAGATAAGGTGGTGAGAGAGTGCAAAAGGAGAGCATATGAAAAGATGGGGAGAGGCACTGTCAAGAAATTTTTAATGAAAATAAGAAAAAATTTGGAGTGAGTTAAACAAGTTTAAAGAAAGCCTAGGGAAAGTATGGATTTGTCAGTTAAAAACAGAGTAGGGGAGTTAGTAGATGGGGAGAGGGAGGTATTAGGTAGAGGGCCCGAGAATATTTTGAGGAACTTTTAAATGTTAAGGAAGAAAGGGAGGCGGTAATTTCATGCACTGGCCAGGGAGGTATACCATCTTTTAGGAGTGAAGAAGAGCAGAATGTAAGTGTGGTGGAGGTACATGAGGCATTAGTAGAATGAAAGGGGGTTTAAAGCAGCTGGAACTGATGGGATCATGACAGAAATGTTAAAAGCAGGGGGGGATATAGTGTTGGAGTGGTTGGTTTTTTATTATTATTATCACACTGGCCGATTCCCACCAAGGCAGGGTGGCCCGAAAAAGAAAAACTTTCACCATCATTCACTCCATCACTGTCCTTGCCAGAAGGGTGCTTTACACTACAGTTTTTAAACTGCAACATTAACACCCCTCCTTCAGAGTGCGGGGCACTGTACTTCCCATCTCCAGGACTCAAGTCCGGCCTGCCGGTTTCCCTGAATCCCTTCATAAACGTTACTTTGCTCACACTCCAACAGCACGTCAAGTATTAAAAACCATTTGTCTCCATTCACTCCTATCAAACACGCTCACGCATGCCTGCTGGAAGTCCAAGCCCCTCGCACACAAAACCTCCTTTACCCCCTCCCTCCAACCCTTCCTAGGCCGACCCCTACCCCGCCTTCCTTCCACTACAGACTGATTACACTCTTGAAGTTATTCTGTTTCGCTCCATTCTCTCTACATTTTCCGAACCACCTCAAAAACCCTTCCTCAGCCCTCTGGACAACAGTTTTGGTAATCCCGCACCTCCTCCTAACTTCCAAACTACGAATTCTCTGCATTATATTCACACCACACATTCCCCTCAGACATGACATCTCCACTGCCTCCAGCCTTCTCCTCGCTGCAACATTCATCCCCCTGCTTCACACCCATATAAGGGAGCTTTGGTAAAACTATACTCTCATACATTCCCCTCTTTGCCTCCAAGGACAAAGTTCTCTGTCCCCACAGACTCCAAGTGCACCACTCACTCTTTTTCCCTCATCAATTCTATGATTCACCTCATCTTTCATAGACCCATCCGCTGACATGTCCACCCCCAAAATATCTGAATACGTTCACCTCCTCCATACTCTCTCCCTCCAATCTGATATTCAATCTTTCATCACCTAATCTTTTTGTTATCCTCATAACCTTACTCTTTCCTGTATTCACCTTTAATTTTCTTCTTTTGCACACCCTACCAAATTCACCCACCAATCTCTGCAGCTTCTCTTCAGAATCCCCCAAGAGCACAGTGTCATCAGAAAAGGGAGCAGCTGTGAAAAACTACCACCCTGTGTGTGTTTTCTTTATCTTTTAACTCCACGCCTCTTGCCAAGACCCTCGCATTTACTTCTCTTACAACCCCATCTATAATATATATTAAACAACCAGGGTGACATCACACATCCTTGTCTAAGGCCTACTTTTACTGGGAAAAAATTTCCCTCTTTTCTACATACTCTAACTTGAGCCTCACTATCCTCGTAAAAACTCTTCACTGCTTTCAGTAACCTACCTCCTACACCATACACTTGCAACATCTGCCACATTGCCCCCCTATCCACCCTGTCATACGCCTTTTCCAAATCCATAAATGCCACAAAGGACCTCTTTAGCCTTATTTAAATACTGTTCACTTATATGTTTCACTGTAAACACCTGGTCCACACACCCCCTACCTTTCCTAAAGCCTCCTTGTTCATCTGCTATCCTATTCTCCGTCTTACTCTTAATTCTTTCATTATAACTCTACCATACACTTTACCAGGTACACTCAACAGACTTATCCCCCTATAATTTTTGCACTCTCTTTTATCCCCTTTGCCTTTATACAAAGGAACTATGCATGCTCTCTGCCAATCCCTAGTGGTTGGTACTTTTGTTTAATAAATGTATGAAAGAGGGGAAGGTACCTAGGGATTGGCGGAGAGCATGTATAGTCCCTTTATATAAAGGGAAAGGGGACAAAAGAGATTGTAAAAATTTTTAGAGGAATAAAATTTACTGAGTATACCAGGAAAAGTATACGGTAGGGTTATAATTGAAAGAATTAGAGGTAAGACAGAATGTAGAATTGCAGCGAGCAAGGAGGCTTCAGAGTGGGTAGGGGATGTGTAGATCAAGTGTTTACATTGAAACATATATGTGAAAAAGATATTTAGTAAAGGTAGGGAAGTTTTTATTGCATTTATGGATTTAGAAAAGGCATATGATAGAGTGGATAGAGGAGCAATGTGGCAGATGTTGCAAGTATATGGAATAGGTGGTAAGTTACTAAATGCGTAAAGAGCTTTTATGAGGTTTGTGAGGCTCAGGTTAGGGTGTGTAGAAGAGAGGGGGAATACTTCCCGGTAAAAGTAGGTCTTAGACAGGGATGTGTAATGTCACCATGGTTGTTTAATATATTTTTAGATGGGGTTGTAAAAGAAGTAAATGCTAGGGTGTTCGGGAGAGGGGTGGGTTAATTATGGGAATCAAATTCAAAATGGGGAATTGACACAGTTACTTTTTTTTCGATGATACTGTGCTTTGGGAGATTCAAAGAAA